AGCTGCCGAGAGGTATTTGATGGATTCACTTTGGCAACCGTCAGCTACCTTGTCATGTCAATAAAATTATTGCCATTGATTGGGGAGAGGCGTGGACGCATGCTCTGAGGAGCAGATCTCCCTCCCAGAGCTGGGCACAGGCACCCACGGGGGCTGTGTGCATGTGGGGAGGGGGCGAGGGGTCCCCAGGGGATGGGGATGGAGCGGGAGAGGGCAGAGGGAAGAGGCAAGAGGAACAAAAGGCCCTTGTGCTGGGTGGCCAGCTGGGGAGAGGCAGCAACATGGGCAGGCGAGGATTTCCAGGGGCTGCGCCAGGGTCGATGCTTGGGGAGTCCCTCAAGGGTCACTGGCTGACACCGCTGGGGCCAGGGCAGGCTTCATGCCCCAAATCTGCCCCCCTCCCCACCCCCCAAAAAAAAGCCCGCCAAGGCACAGGCAGTAAGTAGGGTAGCCGGCAGCAGGGTCACAAGGGGGACCGAGCCCTCCTGTGCACTCTGGGAGCCAGATTTCACGCGCCGAGACACAAAGGGCTTTTCAGCCAGAGCCACTTACCCTGAGCACTAAGCAGAGGGCAGTGCGAAAGGACCCACGGGGATGGGAACCAGCAGAGCATCTGACGGCTTCTCCTTCCAGCTCACGTGGACCATGATCGGGTCATGCATCATACCCAAGAGGCTGACATGGGGGCTTCTGTGATGGGAGGAGGGCCAGCAGGCAACAGGAAAATTCCTGAAAAGCCTCCAGGTCAGCAGCTCCCCCTTCCCACAGCACCTATTTTTGGGTCATACTGTCCAGACACACTACAGGTTGTGAATGCACCAAAACACCCTTCACCAAAGCTTTTAAGATAAACCTACTCAATGGGGGTGTCTCTTCAGGCTACCAAATCTGGTCCCCCAAAGCACCCCCATCTTCCTGCCCTCGGCAGGACAAGGGGCTGCAGGGGAGCCCCTCAACCCTCCCCAGGACAGGAGAGGAGCACCGTGTCCCACTGTGTTGGGATGGGGATGACCCATTTAGTGTGAACAGTTTATTTATTACTATTATTATTATTATTAAAGTGGAGAAGCCAACACAGCCAGACATAGGGCCAACTCAGCTGTGCTTTCCGTGGGAGAGAATAAACAAGCTGAAGCAAGTGTGAGCCCCAGGGGGGGGAGCAGATTCCCAACAGAGACACGTCCTGATGCGTTCGTGCCTGAGGCCAGCCTGTTTCAGGACAGGGCAGGGAGCTGCAGGGATTATGGTGGCAACTGGGCAGCCAGATAATCCTCAGGAAAGGCAAGAGCTCAGCTGGCTGTGAGGGATGTGTAGTCCAATGCTACCCTGGCTCAGAGGCACTGGCTGCACCATCCCACGACCATGCCCACCTTGGGGATCTCCAGTGCCTGGATCCCAGGTGGTGCTGGATATATCATGAGGGGCTATGGCAGCAGGGACAGCTCGCAGCATCCTTCTGCAGCAGCAGCCAGGGATGGCAGTGGTCAGGGAGCCACCAGCTGCTTCAGAGGAGGAGCTCAGCTCAACCCCAAAAATAACCAGGCGGCACCCAAAACTGGGTCAACCCACAAGGGCCACACCAGAGCTCAGCAGAGCCCTAAGGCAATGCCTTGTTTGCATAACAAGGGGCAGATGGCAAGCTAAGAGGGCAGCCCCATCTCTGCACTGCACCTCCCAGGATGCCCCATTGCCCCAGCTCCAGAGCGGCCAGCCGAGCACGGTGCTGTTACTGGGAGGAGGTTGCACCATCATCACACCCCCTCCAGCATCATCCTTCTTCCATCTCTCCAGACAACACTGCAAACACACCCAAAACTGAGTCCTTGGCACACACAGGTTAAGGGGTGACTATGGGTGCAGCGTCCAACATGCCTTTCCAGCATGTGACTGAGCACTCCCATTGTAATTACACATGCAGCTTTCTGTTCACCCGAAAAATAGGAAAGACACCCTGAGAAAATGACAACCGCCCAATAAAAAGATTATCAAGCAAGGACAGGTGGTTTCCAGGAAAAGCCCAAGCATTACGAAGCAAGCCTTGCTTCCCTTGCGCAAATATCCCCTGGACATTCCTGCTGCATCATGCTCATGGCTCAAGTCCCCCTGTCACTTCCCCATCCGCAGCACCCTCAGACCACAGGGTGCAAGGCCGGGTCTGGACACACCATCGCGGAGGACGTGGCTCGCCGCCAGACCCAGCAGCACAGGAAGTCATCCCGGCACGGCTCACCCGGGCAGCGGCAGGAATTCCCCAAGAGGCCCAGTCCCATGACTGCTGGCACAGAGGACAGCGAGCACGCGGTGCAGAGGGCTTTCCAAGCCTGGCCTCTCTGCAGAACTCGGGGCCAGCCAAAGATAACCACCTGCCTGGTAACCCCGCAGGGACAAGCTGAGAGCGGGCTGCCACAGGCTTCCCTGCTGTGACCCACACACAGCATCCCAGGGGCCCTGTACCTCCATCCCCCACCAGCCCCTGTCCCACAGCCAGTTTTGCAAATCTGACCTTGTTTGCAATATCCTCCTTACACACACACATCCCGCTCCCCCCCCCCCCCAATTTTAGGGTCTCCCTGCAGCTGCGGTAGCAGCAGGTGCTGCCCAGCACCCCGGCAACTGTTGGCGGCAGGGCTGGGGAGAGGCTGCAAGGCAGCCAGAGGCTCGTGTGGCTTTTTTGGGGGGGACAAAGGGAGGCTCTGTCTGCACGCAACAGCCTGGACAAATGCTGGGCATAGGAGCTGCCATCCAAGGAAAATCCAGACGCAGCAGTGACTCTGCCCTGACCTTACCCTATCCCAGATGGCGAGACTGGTGCCCCCTCAGCAGAGCAGCATCCATTACAGGGCTCCTGGGGATGGGGAGGGGAGCACCCAGCTGTCAGTGCAGCCCTCCCTCCCCAAAGGAGATGCCAGGAGGTGATGGTAAGGGCAGGGGGGACCAGCAGGAGAGCAGAGAAGCCACCAGGCTGCACCAAGCCTAACAGAGGTGCTTGCCAAGGGGAAACGCTGGTGGCTTAAAGGCAGAGGGATTACAACTACTGCTGAGAGATTCACCCCTCCTGCACCCTCTGCCTGGAAGAGCCACCTTGGCCACGCTCTGCTGTACCCCTGCCAGGCACCTCATCCCCTAGTTGGGGACGTGTCAGCACCACTCAAGGACAGGTCAGCAGCCCCCCTCTCGTGGTCCCCAGGCAGGGGGGAGCCCTCTCCTCCCTCCCGCCCCACTGGCAGCCAGGCAGCAGGATCAGGTAGCTGCTGAGGCAGCGCTTTGCCAGGCAGGCTAGGCAGGGGCTGCCGCAGAAAGGCTGGGCTGCCCACCCCAAGGTCACAGCAGGGGACAAGGGGGGGACCTGGCAGTGCAGGTCTTGGAGCCTGCAAAGTGCTCCCCATGCTGCTGTCAAGAGAGCTCAGAGACCCCAGGGGTTTTGGGGGCTTCAGGCATGACAAGCCTACAAAACCTGCCCAGCATCCCTGTGCTGACACAGGACTGAGACCCACCTCTTCATTCCCCATGGAGCTCCTGCTCTTTGAGGCACCGAGTTTAGAAACTAGCAAAAAGAAAGCTGGGGAAGGCCCTGCAGGAGAGGACGATGCCCAAACAACACCCTCAGCCACGACTTTGTAGCATGCAACCCACTGCCTGGCCAGGCACCCACTCTAGATCACTGCTTGCGAGTGGCACTGAAGATACAAAGACCAGAGAAAAACTGAAAAAAGGAGGAAGAGGAAAAAACAAATCTGCTGTGTAAAGCGTAACTGCCAGCCCCTCTAGATAAATAAGGAACTAGAGGTGTAACACTGTCCCCATGGCTCTGTGAACCCTCCTCCCACATGTTCTTTCCTTCCCATCCCCATTTAAAACCTCCCATCTGGAGCCCAGCGGCAGGAGAAGCCGCCAGCAATGCGACACCAGTCCCTCCGGATCCCTCATCGATCCGGAAGGGAGGACGAGCTGCCTCCGTCAGCTCCCCGCAGCCCTGCTCAGCCCTGGCGCCGCCGTGTCCCCCCCCTGAGGACTGCAGAAAGCCAAGCAGAGGATGTGGGGCTGGAGACGATCACAAGCATCCTGCCCCCCCACCCCAACACACGCTGCTCATGTTCCTCCCACCCCTAAACACACTGCTAATAGGCAGGGCTGCAGGCAGGTCAGGGGTCCAGGGGGAACACAGACAGGGCAAGCAGGACGTTTGGGGACTGGACTATCACCCGCAACGGCACCCTGCTCCTGATTCCTGCCAGGGAAGCCACCCTGCCTGCTCCAGGTCACCCTGACCAGCACAGATCAGGAGAAGCAACAAAAATGCAGGGTGAGGGTGCTGGAGCACCTCACAAGCCGCAGAGCAAGGGGCCAGACCCCCTGGCCAAGCCCTGGTCCTCCTGCCCCTGGCAGGGACCATAACAGGACCTTCACACTGCCTTTCCCTGGCTAAGGATGCAGTTAACGCAAGCTGTGTTTATACAGGGCATGTACAGCTGTAATTATAGGCACGATGTTATGATAACAGGAAATCCGTGCCCTGTGGAGATGCAGGCAGAGAAAGGCACACACGGAGCTATTTGCTAATTGCCACCAACAAGCAGCCTTTTGTGCCGTGGCCGGGTAGGGGAAGAGAAGTCTCCCCCACACCGGGCTGAAGCCATCAGCACCCACCTCTGCCCACTCTGCCCAAGTCAATGGCAAAACCATACAGACCTGGACAGACAGAGCCCACCCTGTGGCAGCTACAGGGCAAACCCACCCACCCCGAGACACAACGGGATGGGCTCTGATCCACCAGCAACCAGGACTCAACTTCCCTAGGTTCTAACTCTTCCAAAAGACAGAGGTTTTGTAAATTTGGTTGGCAGAGAAGAGCAAGGGGAAATTGTCCCTCACTGGCCCCTTGCACGTTACCCCCAATATGTCATTCTATGGCACAGGCACAAGACCTTCCTATACCCCCCAAAGGGCCAACAACACGAGCCATCATTGCTCCCCATCAGCGTCACTGAGGGGTTTCCTACCTTTTTGATCTTCCCGCTCCGTGTGCCAGCAAAGACGACGGTTTGTCCTCTGTAGTCGTAGGCAGCCACCGAGGTCATCCCATCCTCCTTATCCACAAAGAGCGGTGTCCCCTCAATGGTGACCGTCCCACCCAGCGGCTGGTTAAAATCCTGGCCACAGAAATTGTCGTCAATCTGCAGCGGCTGTTGGAAGAAAACAGAGGAGAGATGAGCTTTTTGCCAATGCCTTGACATGACGGATCTCCCAGATGGCCATCAGCCATCTCCCACCTCCACTCCATCCGCTTTGGCAGCCCCATCCCTTGCCTCTCCCGCCCCTGCCACACCACCTCACCAGTCGAGGGAAAGGATGAGCTGATGCTTCCCTAAAATTCCCTATGCACTGATGTAAGGCACTTGGGACACATCCAAGGCATGCAGCCCCACTCTGCATCTGCACAAGATTTGCAGACCAAGACTAACGCTCTCGGACCTCTGCATCTTACAGAGCAGCATTTACAAACCCAGCGGGAGCCAGCACAGCACCCCTGCTCCCCCTCCAGCCCCGCGCCACTGCCACCTCAAACACGTGGGGTACTGGCACGAGCTCCCCAGCACACACACACCCCCCTCTCCTCCTCACCCTGACACTAGCTTCAAAAATAAAATGGCTTGGCAGTAAGGCAGGAGGGGCTGAATCCTGCACCCCAGCCTTCCCCCAGAGACAAAACACTTCCCAGCCAAGGCCGTGCCAAGACAAACAGGTCAGAGTTCCTGAAGGAGCCTCACTTCACATAGCAGAGCCTCCAGCAAACACGCTACCCACCTGCCAACCCTCTTCCCTTCTCCCGCAGGAACGTCTTGGGGAAATCCCCACATTTTTTTCATGCTGCCTGGCCCCAGACAAGGCGCCTGGCTCAGCCAGCTGCCTCTTCGGTTCAGCGCTCGCCCACGGGTCTGGGAGAAGCTTTTACAATCTCTGCCCATGAAGAGCCAGAGACAGGGCTGCACCAGCCCCTTTCCACCCTCAGGGCTGTGAAGGCAGGGACCTCCAGTGAGGATGGTCACACCGATGGGCAAGGCAAAGCCAGAAGGATGCCCTCTGTGAAAGCCAGGATGCAGGCGGGGGAGCAGGACCAGCTCCACAGCACTCGCCCCGTCCATTAAGCATCCTCACCACGCTGCCCTGATCAGCTGAGCAGAACAGACCCTGACCATGGGTATCTTGCCTGGGGGGTACATGGGCCTCCCAGAGGTCCCACTCTAGGCAATGGCCTCACGTGGTCACACAGCACCAGCAAAAATCCACCCCCAGCAGGCCCCTCCTGTCCCAGGAAACGAGGGGCTCGGGCCAAATCCCCAAGGGTGGCAGTGAGGGGCACAGGAGGTTAGGGCAGCAAGGCAGACACAGCCGACGGAGAGACAGCCCGCTCCGCCCATGGGATTCTTCCACTTCACAAGGCTCCTTACGTAACTTTGATTTTAAAGAGAGAGATTTTTTTTTGGCAAGCAGTGGCCTCCAAATGCATGCCAGTCCCCAAGGGGTTTTAAAATCCATACAGCACGTGCATGGAGCATATGGGAAAATGCCGAGCTCCCAAGCTCCACATATGCAAGGGCAGGATATAGCTCCACGATTCCCGCTCACCGCTGCCCGGGAAGCGAGGGTCAACCCAGACCAGCTCCCAGCAGCAACCTGCAGTCACCTATGGGGAGGAGGGAAAACACAGTGCCTTTCTGTGCCCCTGCTCGCCCCCCTCGCCCTGCCGGTCCCGCTCCCGGCTGCAGTGGGGATGCAGCGCCACGCCAGCCTTCTAGGAGGGGAAGGACAGGAATGACTCCAGCCGGTCACGTTCGGCCTCCCCAGGCAGTTTGGGGATGCTGGGCTGCTTCCTCAATTACTCTAACTTCTGTTTTTGTTAGGTGTCTGAGTTAGCATACAGCCAATGACCGACACCCTTCCCTGCCTGACCTTTGCTCGTCCTTCCCTAAACTGGGGGAACTTCTACAGCCAGGCGTGAGAGATGTGGGGATCCCAAAAAAAGTAGTGTGGTTCTGTAACCACAGGAAAAGGAGGGGAAACAGAATCAGGGCCTCTCCACCCACCCTCTGAATCCCAAGCCTTGCAAGTGTCCTCTCCTATCCATCAGCCAGCACACAGCACTAAGCATCCTCTGCATCACCAAGCTAGACATTTTAAAACAGCAGATCCAAGAAAATTATCTTCCCAACCACGGAGTGAGATGGAAGTGATGCTCCAGCCGATACCCACCTCCCATCTGCATACCTGGGATCCTTCAGGCGTTTTGCTGGGAAAAAACACTCTCTGGCCCCAACAGGCCCTCTGCCCTGGTAAAGCACCCCAGCACTTTCCACCAAAATGCCAGCAGTAGCAGAGGGGTTAAGGGCAACGCCATGTGAAGGTATTTAAGCGCCAGAAGCCCCTGGGTGCAGCTTCTGCTCTCTAAACTCAACTCAATCTGCAGCTTCCCCAACCCCTCAGCTGCTGAATATGCAAGAGGAAAGATGTTTACGGTGTTTACTCCTCTCTGCTTTGTCTCAACAAACTCTCTGGGAAACGACAAATACAGCTGCGCTCCGGGACCATGAGGAGCGCCCGCCGCTGCCGCGATGCCGACACCACCTCGATAAATAATTACGCCGACAATTAGCTCATTAACAGCAAACTGCCTCGTTAGAGAAGCGCAGGCAGGCAGCATGGCGAGGTCGGGCCAAGGGCGGCAGCACGGGGGTTACAGCACCAACCGACATCCCTGGCAGATGCGGGGAGAGGCGAAGCAGAGGGATGGAAGGACGGAAGGACAGAGGGACAGCTGTCCCCCGGCCAGTGCCGGCAGGGACCGACACGCACCACGGCACGCGAGGGCCAGTGACCTTGCAGCGTTTCAGCTTGCAGATGCTGGGATCTGCAGGAGGCATCGAGCTCTGCCTGCTCTCCCATTTGCATGGGTGTTTGCAGGGACCATGGCCTCAGCCCACTGCAAGCAGGGGGGCTGTTTGTTTTGGGGTTTTGTGTGCGTGTGTTTTTTTTTAATTTTTTTTTTCTTTTGTTTTTATTTCAGTGCTTTCCTTTGGCTCCTCTCTCAGCCGCCCCTGGCTCTCAGGCCCTCATCTCCATAGCGTGGCAGCCTTCTCTTCTCTCCCACCACTAACCCGCCTCCTCAAAATAGGGTCAGGAAGCTCAAATTTCCTGGGGGAAGCCGCCTGCAGGAGCGGGGAAAGCAGGCCCGCAGCACCAAGAGAGCGGTAGCGGGTGTCTCCTTGATGTGCCTTGTCTCATTGACTCCCTTCAAGCCCACTTAGGAGAGCAATGAGGGAGCAGACAGCAGAGGCGAGGCTCACGCCACTCAGCATTATTAATTATCCAGTAATTCACCAGTTAACACCATTACAGGCTCACCCCGTCCCCCTGTGTCCCCATCAGAGGCTGCAGCGGAGGATGCTGACAGGAGGGACAGGACAGGACACAAAGAGCCAGGGAAGGAGGCAGGTACCAAGTGCCAGGCTGGGATGCCAGGCTTTTTGCACATTAAAAGCCACCCAGGAATAATCCCAGTGTGGTATGGTTCATTAACACTTGCATTTCCCTGGCTGCCCCCAGGAAGGATCTGGCTTATCCTGGCCCAATTTGGGCCAGTTTGTCATCAGCCATTGTCCTGTGCCAGCAGGCTGGGCAGCAAACCCCACCAAGGACTCAAAACTCACTTTCTCCGTGGGGCAGCCCAGGGAAAGCTGCTGCCCACGTCCTGTCTGCTCTGGGCACTAGTGCTGCCAGCCCAGGGGTCAAGGACAACAGGAACCCTGAATCACTCACTGCTGCAACACCTCCGCTCCAGCTCCAATCTGCTGCCCTTTCCCAAACCTGCTGCATCAGCCCCTCACCACCTCCCCCCCATTTTGGGGATGGGCACACTGGGTTGATGCGCTGAGCACATCTGGCCATGGGCACGGTGACCCCCAGTCCCTGAACTGCACGGGGGAAGCAAAGAGCCAGGCTACACAACACCAACCCCCTCTTTAGTAAAATACCATGAACAGCAAAACCCCTGGATGGGCTCAGAAGAGATTTAGGCAGTGGGGCTGGTGCGGGGGAATGGACCAGACAGTCCCACAAGGTACCTTCACTGTGTGTGAGTTCGTGCCTCAGAGCACAAGCATGAGGGTCTTGCTCCCGAGTTGGTTCCACTCCCCTTCCCACTGCCAGATCGCTGGATCCCAGAAGGGGAGAGAAAGAAACAGGAGACAGGAATCTGCTCCGTTCACCAGCGCTGAGGAGGGACCACTAATATCTCCTGAGCTGGCTGCCAAGCCTGGCAGCCTCTTCCCCTGGCTCCAGCACCAGCACCAGAGAATCAGAGCTGCCCTGCAGCACCAGGGGACGAGCATCCCTTGGCCCTGCACTACTCAAGGTCTGGGAGTGGGGTGCCAGCAAAGCCTCCTCCAGCATGGACCAGCCTCAGCCCCTTGCCACCACAAAGGAGTGGAGCAAGAGCTCCTGGGACAGTTTCCATATGGATGGGGTGTAAATCCCAAGCAACTACTGACTTGAGCAATTACATTCTGCCTCCTTAAAAATAAAAAAAAATGCCCTTTATTTTCTGGCCAGCCCTCACCAATGAGAGATCCGTCACTGCTACAACCCACCCCAGAGGTGGCTGTATTTCATTAAGGACACAGAAATTCCTGCCAGAAAGAGGTTACATGCTCCACGGGATCTGGTTTGGCTTGCGCTCAGCACAGCAAGGGGCTGAGGGCTTGACTCGTGATCCAGTCATGCCTTTCCCAGCTCTGCTTGGCAGCTGGAGCAGGAATGGGACAGAAAACACCACCTGGCACCCCTGGGGGAGGGCGGCACCCCCAACCCAACCCATGTGAAAGCAGGAGCCACCCTATCGTGGCACACATCCTTCCACCCCACAAAAGCCACATCTGCAGGACCTAAAGAGCACCTTGAAATCCACCTACTGATGCAGGCTGGATACCAGGTAGCAATCCCAGGACCCTCCTAGCATGAAACTGCTCCCAAAGTGAAGGGGGGGCAGAGCTCCCTCCCCAAATCTGGGGGGCACAGCACTGCCATGGGGCACCAGGAGAGGCGAGCTGGGACTGCAGGAAGAAGCAGCGAGCATCTCCTCCACCAGAGCCAGCAGCTGCGCGACCCAACAGGCAGCAGTGTAACGATTTCATCATTTTCCAGCAAAATTGAATTAGTTCAAAGCCAAAATCTGATTTGCGAGCCCAGCGCTCTTGACAGCAAACCCTTTACTTTGTCAGGCAGCTGTTAGCTGTCTCCTCCGGAGCTGCGGGGAGGACGGTGGGAGGGAAGGCAAGGCTGCTCCACAGGGATCCCCTACCCACCTGCCTACACTGCCAGGCACCCAAAATCCTGCTCGGGCAGAGCTGGGGGCTTGGTGATAGGTGCCAAGCACCAGCAAGCGGGGCTGTGGGGAGGTGGACAATAGCAGGGGTGTCGGCACCTCCACCAGACCCTCCCCAAACATTCACCAGCACCCCAAAAGCCCCCTCTGACAGGTATCTGACCCTGCTTGAGGACTACCCAGCCCAGTTTGGTGATGCCCAGTGTAACACCTCCCCATCATCCAGAGCTGTAATCTTCCTGAGACCGCTCGTGGTTTATAACATTGCCTGGGAAAAAAAAAGTAACAATAGTAATCATTCAGCTGGAAAACAAACACAAAGAGCCATGGGGGGAGGTCCCCCACTCCCCAATGCTCATAAGCCCCACAGAGAGCAGCTGAGCCACAAGCAAGGGCCAGATGCACCCACGTGAGCACCAGGCAGGAGGACACATCTATGGGGACAGAGGAGAGTGCTCCCTCGGTTGGAAATCACTGCTTTGGGATGTCAACACTCATCTCCTGCACTTCTGGACAACAGTTTGCTCTGGCCATGCTCAAAACCCACCTCACTGATGACGCCTTGTGCCCTTGGTCCTCCTCTCCAGCACCCCATGGAAAGGATGTGGTCCCTCCGCGCTGAGCATCTGACCAACTTCTACCAGGACCACCAACCTCCCTGCTTCCCTCCATCAGGTCTGCGCTCCCCGTACCCCACATCCTACTGCCCCCAACACCTGCTCGGCCACCAACAAGCCCCAGGTTACGCGACACTCGCAAATTCACCCGTGCCATCTGCAAGGGACTTCCCAGCAGAGCTGCAGCAGATGCCCTGAGGACTGAGCATCCTGCCTTTCCAGCCCAAATCACAGACACTCACCAAATCCACAGGGCAGGGGCACCAGAAGCAGCCACCTGCATTGGCATGGGGCCTCTTGCTTGGGGCCCTCCACAGGCACCAGTGCAACTCAAACCCAGATGGCCACCCCACAGTGAAGCCATGATCCCTGTAAGGAATGCTACTGAGCAAGCCGAGTGCCCAGCCCTAACAGTGCCAGTCCTGCCACCGGGAAAACATGGCTCGGGTCAGGTCACCGGGAAGGGTCCGGCCAGAAAGCACCACCAGGAGCCAGAAACAGCCTGGCTTGGGTGGAGACAAGCGGGAACTTACCGAGTTGATGCAGCCCAGCTCCTTATTCAAGAGCCAGGGCAGCGAGAGTTTCCCTTCCCCTCTGTAGCACGACTGGATACGCTCCTTGATCTTATCCTTGATCTTCTTCAACGTGAAGAGGCAGAGCACAGACTCCTTGGGAGGCTTAACCCTGTTTTTCTGGCCCTGGGAGAAGATGGTGAAGAGGATATCCTCCCGCTCTGAGATGCCCAGGTACTTGGCCAAAGCCTTGCCAGGTTTGGTCAGGTAGGCGTCCTGGATCAGGCGGTACTCGATGCCATCCTGCACGCAGCCGATGGGGAACTCCACATAGGAGTAGAACTTGGGGTCATCCACACAGAGGCGGACGATCTTGGAGGTGAAAAACTGCTCCCCAGTGGAGTCGGGCGAGGTGAGCTGGGTGTCCAGCTGCAGGGTCAGGTAGTAAACAAATTGCTCACTGCTGAAGCTGTAGATGTAGTAGATGTCAAAGGTGGGGAACTTGGAGAGCGTATCCGAGGGGATCTTGAGCTGAGAGGAGACAAACTCATCCTGGTAGACAAAGCCAAACATCTCCGCATTCTCCTCGTTGGCCATCAGCTTGCGGCTGGAGAGGGTGGGGAAGTACTCTGACTTCCCATCAATGGGCGTCCCAATGAAGAGCTTGTTCTGCCCATTCAGCACCTCGATGATGACCCCGGACATGGTGCCTGACTCATTGACGCTGGAGAGGTAGTGCTCCTTGCGGTGGTGGGGCTCACCCAACTTGAAGAGGTCATCCAGCCGCAGGAACTGGCAAATACCCTGGGAGGCACTGCCACAGGCAATCAGCCGGTTCCCCGAGTAGTCCACCAGCAGCAGTTTGTTCACGTTGTTGGTGGTGACCAGCCCGTGCGGGCAGGACTGAACGCTGGGCGGAGGGTAACACTTCTCATTGTCCTCCACGGGCCCCGTCACGTGGGTCCGCAGGAGTGTGAGGTTATTGGAGAGCTTGTAGATCCGATTGACAGCCCCCACGTAGACCTCCCCGGTTTTGTTGTGGACCACCAAGTGCGTCAAGCTCCAGTCTGTAACCGGGAAAGTCCTAAAGGGAGACTTGGGGCTGCCTTCCGCCAGCGGTAGCCAGGTGCTCCCCAAGAGCAGCAAGGTCCAAACGTTGATGAACAAGTGGTGCTTGAGCCAAAGGAGCCACATTGCAGCAGCCTCACATCCAGCCAAGGCCATGCCCAAACCCAGCCACAAAATAAATAGAAACAAACCCAAACTAAGGGGATGAGGGAGGGAGGAGCAGCTAACGGGACACAGTCTCCTCTGCTTCCACTGCGCTCGGCATTCAGGGCATCATGGGCACAGCCAGTCCGGTCAGCCCTAGATGGAGAAAGACAAGAAGAGCAGGGTTAGGCTTTCCTGAACAGTGTCAAGCCTGTTCCACCCCAACCAGCAGAGACTCTGCTGCTTCATACTTTTCTAGAGGCAGCCTGATAAAACACCCCCCACCACCTCCTGCCCCGGAGGAAGACGTGTCCGCAGTGCAGGGACCGAGGGAGCCTGCGAGACGCTCAAGGAGAACCCCCCCCGGCCGCACACCGCCGCGGACAGCACATCCCAACCAAGGAGCTGCCATGCACTTTGTCACACCACCCCAGCCTCAACCCCCAGCCCCACCAGCCAGCAGCCCCCTCCGAGGGGCATCACCCTGCCCTCGTGCCCACCCAAGCCCCCTCGGGAAGAGCAGCATCCGCCTGAACGTGCCCGCAGCTCAGGACCAGCACGGCACGTCCCCTCAGGCAGCGGCCCGGCGATGCGCTCCGGCACACCTACCACATACAAATGCTGCAGCAGGGCATAGCTGGTCCCAAACTGCTCTTAAGACCACCAGCAGCATCGAAGTGTTAGCCGGCGATGGCTGCTAACAAGCCTCAAGAGGAGTCCCCCCGACCTGCTGCCCCTGCCCCGCTCCACTGTGGCACCGGCAACAGATGCAAAAACACCCAGTTTGCAGCAAGGACAGCTCAAGCCCCTACACAGAGTGGGGTCTGAAAAGCACCTTTTAAAGGAGCTGGGAGAGCCGAGAGCCCTGGCACACTGCCTGCCGTCCCTGCCACCTGCCTGCCTGACAAACCCCAGGAGGGCTGTGGGCAGGAGGGAGAGCAAGCAGGAATGGTAAGGAGGAGCTCGTCCTTCTGGCATTTATATGCATTAAGAAACACAGGGCCAGCCATCAGGCAGTTGGCTTGAGAGGCTCCAGAGGGACAAGGGGGCACAGGCAGGGAGGATGGAGAGTGCTGTACGCTGCTGTGCCACGGCTGGAGCTCACCAACAAGGAGCAGCAAAGAAGCAAGGAGCCAGACAAAAAACCCACACCAGCGTGGTATTTGCATCCCCCCAGCAGTGGGGAGGAGATGGCTGCAGGTAGCCAAAGCAGACAACACTGCTCTCTGTGTCTGCTGAGAAGCCCCCTCAGTTACACCCCCCACCCTGTCTTCTCCAACCCCCCCACAGTCACAAGCACCCCTGGGCTAACGTGGGGTTGTACAAACCCCCCCTGACAGCACACCGCCTGTCCCACTGACATCATTACAACCCACCCACCCAGGATGGGACCATCGTTCCCAAAGTCCTCAGCCGGGGACACGACCTCAGCGCCCTCAGTTCCCCACCCCAGCCGCTGCAGATAAGCAATTCTGGAAGTGGGGAGGAGGAGGAGAGCCTCCCTCCCCTTATCACCCATCTCTGACTCAGCCCAGCATAACCTGCAGGAAGATCCCCACCAGGGAGTGGCGCGGGTAGGAAACATTGCCCGCGGTGACGGCGCGGCTCTGCCGGCATCCCCGGCCGGGCAGGGTGTCATCAGAGGGCAGCCGGCTGCGCACGCCGTAACGGCAGGGCTGCGTGGGGCCGAACGGCTACCCCAGAGCTCGGCAGCCTGCTCTTAGCAGGGCTGTGGGACCCATCACCCACACAAACCTTGGGGTGCTGCATCGTCACTGGGCCAGCAGCTGGGCCATACGGGTACCTCGACAGTCCATATAGCATCCTGCAATTTTGCTGCTCCCTTCCCAAGACACAGAGCCAGCCAGGAGGTCTGAGGGAAAAGAGAGACTTTTTCCCCCTTTCTCCTGCTCCCAGCAAACACAACCCGCCCCCTCTCTCCCTTGCCAGGGCAAGCCCCAGCCACCCCCGCAGCCCTGCCAGTTCCACTGGGACCCCGGTGCTTTGGGCAAAGCTTCTGCACCACTTCCAAACCCCCCTGTGCAGATCGGCCATCTCCAACAGAGCTCTCCCCTACCCACTCGCTTGCCACCCTGCTCCCTTCCATCCCCAAGCACATCCACCTTCCAAGGCCATAGGCTCAAGGGAGGTTTGGGCAACAGCATACAAGCAACACTGAGACCAAAGCCAGGTGCCATGAAGCTCTGTGGGTGTGGAGACAACCCAAGCGTGAAGCCACCAGCCCTGGAAAACATCCCCATGGTCCTAATCCTCCATTCCTACCATCTCTTCCAACATTGGGAGCCTGCTAGCTAACAGCACACAGACACACCACTGTCGGGGCAAGCATGCTCCTAGGGGACAGCCACCCTGCCCAGCGTCTTCATTTTTATGAGTTTGTTGGTAAGAGCATAACCACAAGCACCCCAGATCTGAGCTTATTAGCCCCAAACCACACCGCCAGCACAAACCCGCCCGTTAGCTCAGAAAGCCGCCAGCCCAGCAGCCGCAGGCAGCACGGTTTCCTGCCAGGTTGCCAGAGGGAGACTTCCCACCCCAAGAAACCGGCACAGCTCTCACCAAGCTGCCAAAAATTAAGAGGCTGAGCCCCTCCAGGAACAGTACAGCCAGCTGCCTTGCAAAGAGGTCACCATCGACACGAAACTCACGGACCAGCAGCACGCCACAGAGAGAAGGAGGAGCGGGGAGGGTGGTGGAGATGAAAGCAGGAGCTCAGTGTAGCGTGGGGATGCCAGCCGGAGCATCGTCCTGCCATGAAGGGTCAGCGGGACAGGGAAGTCACTTTCTTGGTGCGTTTCTATGATTCATCGCTTCTATTTCAGGAAGCGGGCAGGAGAGCAGGAGGCTGGGCTGCTGCCACAAAGTAGGGCTAGAAAGCCCAACAGGAGATTCCCAAATTAACGTAGGGAACTGCTACTCAGGAGCTGGAACAAGAGCAAAGCAAGGCAGAGCTGGGGTGAGCAGAGAGATGACACTGCAGAGCTCCTCCGAGATTTCTGCTCCTAAATATTCTTTAGCAGCAACACCTCGTCCTAGTGACCTAACACCAGTGGGGGTTTTGATCAGTTCTGCTTAAACCCATCAGCAGGGATAATTTAAAAAAAAAAAAAAAAAAAGGAATGGTTAGTTTTTCTGCCTTTTTTGGGATTAAATAATTTGGGTTCCTGAGACTTGGATCAAATTAAAGCAGGGTCTGAGCCCACTGCAGTGCGGGCAGCAGGCAGCCCTGCCCCAGAGCACAAGCACCTGCACAGTCTCAGCTCCCTGCCCACGGGAGCAGCCAGGGAGGAGCAGCATGGGGGATAAAGGGCATCTCCCTCCTGTCACACCACCTCCAACCCCCACCGAAAGGTCATGGTATGGATAATGGCAGGGCAACTCCTCTGCCAGCACAGGCTTTAAACCACGCAGCACCCAAACCTTATGGGGCTGCACTCAAGCAGCATCTCACCCCGGGGAGGACCCAGCCCGGGAGTACCACACCAGAGACCTGCACTGCACACACTGCCACCACGGCCCAGAAGCACAGAAAACCCCAAGCAGACACCCTGGAGTCAATCCCAGCCCTGAAACAGGCTGCAATAAAATAACACACCACATTCTGGATGCACGCGTGCCAACCGGGAGAGCAGGACCAAAAATACACCCCGTTACGCTGCCTGGGCAGCAAGTGATGCAGCGCAGAGCATCCCGCAGCACAGAGCATCCCCACACGCAGGGCTGGCTCGCTCCACAGCGGGGCCACACTGCCGACGAGACAGCACCCCAGGCTTGTGTTTTGCTTTCCATCTACACGCACACATGTATACATATACACACCCCATATATATAGCAGGAAACCTGCCATCGGAAACAAAGCCGGCGAAGCAATCACACAAGCACCAAATCCGCCCCGGCCCCTTTCATCCCACGCCGCAGAGGACATTTGCTCACGGTTTCACCTCAAAAGTGTCCATGCTGCGATGGCCACAGCTGCTGCATGACCTGCATGGGGATGCCCACCTTGCTGTGGCCACCGCTCACGCTCCTTGGCTTCAAAAGACCCTTTCATCAAAAAGCCACTGACGTGCCCCACAAATGCCTTCATCCCACTTGCTCACTGCTAAGGAGGTAGCAAGGGGCCATGAAATTCATCCCCGGAGGCTGCAAGCCCCGTGGTCCTGCAGTGTGGCCAGAAACTTGGGTTTGGGATGGGGGATCATGCTTTGGGAAAGTCATCATCACTTTTGATAGCACAAAGCAGGAACACCGGAATGGAAAAACTAACCTTAAAAGGCAAAGACTGGACAGAGCATTAAGGACCAGCTCTCCACTCACGCAGGCAGCGAGTCCAGAGCGCTGACGGATGCCGAGTCAGCACGGGCAGCTAGGCTACAAAACGGCAGCCCTCGCGGAAATAGCCTAAACTGGGGTTTAAAACATGCCAACGAGCACAGAGGTGCACCCACAGACCCGCCTGCCATCCCCACTCCGGTGGGTGCTCTCTGCCACCATGCAACACCAAGGAGGAGCTCTGCATTATTACTGGGGTCCCAGGCAGGTCTGCACCCCCAGGGCTAGGGAAAGCATCATTTGTCTTGGAGACAAGGAACGGGGTGAGGCTGCAAACTGCCCCAAGAGCTTTACAGCCTTGCACTTTGCAAGGGAGGCTGCAAGAGTGAAGCAATGGGATTAAAAACCCCCATATAACTGACCCCGAAAGGGGAAATGGCATCTAATGGGTCTTTACCTGCAATCTCTCCAAGTCGCTTGCTGCTCTCAGCAATAGGAAACAGTCTGAGGAAGGGACCGGCTCCATTTTCAAACACACGAGCTGCTGAGCTGCCAGTAATTAGCAAAGGAGAGAGAAGGGAGATTATCCGGGGGAGAGAAAAGCCCGCAGGCCACAGGAGAGTCAGCCTCACCATACAGCTGGTGTATTTTTAGGTTTGTCTGCCTGGGAAAAGCCTTGCAACAATGAGGAAAGGCTGGTGGTGGTACCGAGTTAGAGCTGCACTACATATGCAATCGTCTGCAACAGAGCTAAACTTTAACTCCTTCCTTCACTGCACACAGTCATTAAAAACTATTTGGCTCGAGTGTCTCCCTAGCAATCGAGTTAAATCATTACAAATCTTATCCCTGGCTCAAACCAC